TGAAGGGTTGTTTGCGCTTCCTTTGGCTATGGTGATTGCGAGGAAGCTTGGTATAAAGCTGGTGAGAAACATGAACTACGCTCGTTGCAAAACTGTTAACGACCCGCCCGAATTAAACTGCCCTAACAAAGTATACGGTGCTGGTTTAACCCGCGACCAAGCCATATCTGCAGCGAAATTGTACTCCAAAAAAGGGAATGCAAAGGAGGAGTGCGAAAACTACGTCGGCAAATGCAAGGTCAATAAATTCCTGGGGAAGTGAAGAAAAAAAATATATACATATATGATCAGAAATAGAAGAAATAAGAAACAAAAACAATCAGCTGGAATGTGGTTTTTGTAACATTATATTTCTCATACCGAGAGAGGTGTAAAACAATAAAGTAATGTGAACGGCCTTTGTTTTGATATCATGTGACAAAATTGTTAATAGTATTTCCGTCAGGTGCGCGAATGTCCATGATGTTTCTACTCGCGACTAACTGCCTTCTTGTTGAGAAGGGGGTGAGGAAAGAGAAGTGTGTGGTATTTTGTTCTTTTCTTTCTCTCCACCGCCTCGCTTCGTCTGCCCTGACGTTTGGATCTCTAGCGTGTTAAGGCATGACCCAGAGCCTAATCATACTCGGGAAGCTTTTAAAGGGACAGGTTCACGGCTAAGCGCAGGCTCATGAATTAAATTACTTTTTTCAATTTATTATTAATTGTATCGGTTAATAATCCCACTCACTGTGTCTCAGCGATCTCAGAGTGTATTTCAGGGTAACTAAGTAGAATGGAGGAGTACTAAAATGGCAGAAAAAATTAGTGGATTATGCCAACACTACCAAGGTTGAATTTATTGTTGACCCGAAGGTTTTATTCCATGGTTGATTAATTTACAGCTATTTGCAAATATTTAAGTTAATCAAGTGCCAGTTACTGCCAGGGGAGTGTGCGGATTGGTTCTTTGACAACATTATAACATGATCATATTGCTTGCATAGACGGTACAGCATGTCCCGGCAGAAAAACAGCATTTTGACGAATGAGCATGCGCTCAACTGTGAACCTGTCCCTTTAAGAATCAGCAGTGAGAATAAAGGGAAACAAACCAAAGGAAAAAAATTATCAAAAAACTAAAAAGAAAAAAGTGTGCAATGTTTGAGAGTATGGCTTCTCCGGGATTCTTACTCGCTCCCCGGAGGACTCGCTCCCTCCGTACATCCTTGACCACTGCGCCACACAGCCACAGAATATTGTTGCTCTAAATTGATTATACTTAAACCATTTTTCTCTGCCGTGAACGCTGTTTGAAGTTGGTGGAGCTGTATTTATCATGAACTCAAAGATACATCTGTGGAAAATTAGCTTAAAGGCGCATTTCAAAGCCAGTTGCAGAACTGTTATTTCGGTCTTAATTCTAGGCTCGATTACCAGCCGTTGTTTTGGAAATGGGCCCGAGCTCCTCCCCCGATGACCGAGAAAGCGGCGGAAATCGGGCCTATCTTAATTCACTCTCGGGTTCAACGGTGGACGGACGTTTAGCCTGCAGTGCAGGCGTATCTTGGGCGGGCGAAAGCTGCTTGTTTATCATGGGGGGGTCGTATTGTTGTAGCCACAATCTCTGATTTTATGGCGGGTCCAAAGAAAACGCCTGCACTGCAGGCTAATGGGTGTTCGGAGCTGAAACCAGTCTTTGATTTGATCAATCGGTCACATCGATTGGCGGAGAAAGAACAAATTCATTGTCGGTTTGCATCGGTGTAACGTGAATGCAAAGGTACAGATTTTAGGGAAAGCAAGGTTTTGACGGTAGAAAGCCGAAGTGAAACGCACTTTTCAATAAACTCCATGATAGTGCACCACCGCATTCGCATTTAAAGTAGCGTTGCCTGGCAACCCAAAAATGCACCAAGACGTCACAATTGGATGATGCAACTACGAACACCCAAGAGATCTGTAGAAATAATCACAACTCGAGTTTCTGCCTCGCTGTGCGCGATCAACGCGCGACAAATTTATAAATATTGCGAAGCGAGGTCGACGCCTCGCTTCGCTCGGGAAGACGCCATTCAGTATGACGTCATCGTGCAGGCAACACGACTGGTAAGCCACCGGTAGGCCAGGGGTGCTTACCATTTGACAGGAAATTTCGGAAGTTCCGGATGGAAGGTAAATTGTAAGGTCACTTTTCGGAATTCCAACCGAAAATTGAGGGGTACATATACGTTTTGAGGAAGTCCGTTCATTCCGGTTGGTACGAACCAAACGGAATGTTGCGGTAAACTGGTAAATCGCTTACCGTTATGCTTTCGACACCGCAACCGGATTTTTTTGTCCAATGGTAAGCACTCCAGGGCTTATTTTATTGATCCTCTGTTTGCTGTACGTCAAAAGAGGTAGGGGACTGTGCAATAATTATCAGGAGGGGGGGGGGGGGGGGCTGAAAAACTAAGGTATATTAGCAAAAAATTAAAACCTACCCCCCCCCCCAAACAAAAAAAATTAAGTTTAACCCCCC